AGAATAGAATAGAATAGAATAGAATAGAATAGAATAGAATAGAATAGAATAGAATAGAATAGAACAGAACAACAGTACATGGAGTGGAGTGGAGTAGGAGCAGACTAGGAGCAGAGCCGAAGGGAAGAGAAGAGAAGAACTTTATTGGCCAAATGTGATCGGACACACAAGGAATTTGTCTCCGGTGCATAAGCTCTCGGTGTACACACATTTGACAATTACACAGTGATACGTCATAGATCATAAATCATACTTACAACCATTAATCATAAGATACAAACAAGAAGTGATAAATCAGGAGGAGAAGATAGTAGGAAAGATGAGAAATGAGAAGATGAGAAAGATAATAGCAAATACAGCCCACTACATGGGTAAATTTCTTAGTCCCAAAACAGTGCTGTGGGAATTAAGTGTTCAGCAATATGGCGGCATGGGAGGGTTGTGGTGGGAACTGTCCTTGTGTCTGGTTGTTTTGGCACGCAGTGCCCTATAGCAGCATGTCCAGGATGTGAGGGGTCCGAATGGTTTAGTGTGCAACAGAAGAGGCATAAAAAGTGGTTTTTAAACAGCAGATGCAGTGTTGCCCAAGTTAGATCATTGTTACACAAGCTGCACTGGCTCTCAGTAGGCTTCTACATGCTACTGCAGGTGCTGGAATGTGCACTAGGCCAGCTTACTTGCGAGATCACATATCCCTAAAAGTTTCTCAGGTGCACCAAGATGGGTGAAGTCCACATCCCATCTTATGGGACCAAGGAATTATACCTTGTCTACTGCAGCACGTCATGTAGATGTCCCCCCCCCCCCCAAGATCTAGAACAGCGGACCTCAACCTTTGAGGTACCAGGGACTGGTTCCGTGGAGAGAAGTTTTTCCGTGGACCAGAGAGGATGTGGCTTCGCATGCTTCCTGCATCCCACATGGCCCAGTTTCTGGCATGCTGCAGCCTGGGGGTTGGGGACCCCTGATCCAGAAAGTCCCAACTCTCCTGGCTTTCCCAAAGACCTGGCTAAAATCCAGACACTGAGCCAGAGTGTTAGATGAGCTTAATATAGGTGTGGCTGGGTTATTGTGCTGTAAGTATTTTAGTGTTGTGTCTGTTGTCTAGAATGGTAGAAGTTTCATTATATTGTTTTTCAATTTCCAATTGTTAGGCTCTCAAAATTCATCTCTAAGATGGGCAGCCGTGGCAATTTTCTAAGTAGATAATTAGCTTTATGTAACATGGGAAACTGTCTAAAGGACTTAAAGAAGTACTGTAAATACCACCGTGCCAAGGAAGATTTTCTCTTAAGCAAACACGGAAGTTTTGAAGTTCACAGCTACTAACAGATCTGCTTATAAAAATGAGCAGCGCCAGTTTGTCACATTTTTATTTTTTTAATGGAGAGACAGATTGCAAGAAGGTTTACCCAATAAATGCTGTGAAGCATAAAAAGCAGGAATCTGGAAACATAGTTGGGAACAGTTGGTCTCTGTGATATATGTTTCTAAAAAGAATCACAATTTAAAAACGTGTTGCATAAGAAAATGAAGAAGGAAAAAGCAAAAGAGAAACTGAGATGAAGAAGCTAACATTTGTTTCAAGTATTATTACTGCTGCCATAAAATAGAGCAGGGGTGACACACTGCTGTTTTATGAGTTTTAGGTTTGTGATATTTTGATGTTGCTCTTGTTAACTGTCAGATGTTGTGAATTATAGCAGTATACTAAAAATAAATAAATGTTTCCCATCAGGAGCCTTATGATAAGTGATGAGGGGTTGTGGGACTTTTACTTCAAAATAGCTGGAGGGCATCAGACTATTTGTTATATATAAAACATGTATTTTCCTGTTATATGATAGCAAAGAATTAATCTGTAATTCATAGTTTTCTACCTAACAGAGGTATTTGTAAATATGAAAAAAGAAATTATGCTTCTTCAAGGATATCCTGGTTTGAGCTGAGTAATAATTTTAAGTTTTACAACTATTTACTCATTCTATTTCCTTGTACGGTACATTAAACCCAGCAATCCTTGTAAATATAATTAGCTCATATCTTATTGCACTATTTGGGTGTGTTTGCTATGATGAAAGAGAGAGAGAGAGAAATGGGGGCTATAACAGGAAAATGAGATAATGATTGCTGATAAAAAGAGATAGTTTTATTTAAATAAGACATTTGGTCAATGCAAAAATCTGCTGACTAAATTAAATTATTAATTTTATTAGAACAAAAAGTTATTTTTTATTAGATCTGACATCTAATTATGACAAAATTAATGAAGTCCTTATATAAAAGTATTAATAGACATAATGCATGGCTTCAAAATACTATCTCTTTTCCATTGATAACAATGAACTAATTTTATTTTGATAATTAGACTTATGGTTGTTTAATCTGTTTATCACTAGTTTAGATGAAGCTAGTGAAAAAGAAATCAGAACAGTTAGATCTAAAGCATTTAATTAGAATAAAAGATGCTTCTTTAACCCAACATAATTTTTAAAGAACATAAAGAGACTAAACATAAGGAGACTTAGCAACATCATATTTACTTCAATCCAATTTCTTTTTTCAACATTTTTAATTTAATCAAATTTATAGGTTGTCTAAATTAAAGCTATCATTTCTAGGCAGCTTACAAAATGTAAAAAAAAATATTTAAACTTTAACAGAAAATTATTCAGCACAAACCCACATACCCACAGCCATACATATCACAAGGGCAACAAAACCAACTGCAGAATCGTAAAGCAAGAAATCAGGAATATATAGGTTGGTATTAGAGATGTCTATTGTATTAGAAATCAACTACACACAAAAAATCCAGTATAGATATCTTTAAACATTATTTCGGTTAGATCTTAGGTATACCTTGTAATGCTGAATGTATATTCAGAATCACAACTCATTTTAATTTAATTAAACATACTTGTTTAGCTACTATACCAAAGCTAACCTTTGGCGTAACATACAATCCTTTGCAATCCTTTTTCAATCAACAGCAACACCGAAAGCACATAATTAGCCATGGAAATATCTGTCAGAAATAAAGACATCAGCATAATTTTTTTTCCTGTGTTAAATGCCTCAACGTATCTATTTTCTTCATAAAGAAACCTTACTATTCATAAGATTGGAATATAGTATTTTCCTTGTTTACCCGCTTTTCTACATGCTTTTGCAATCTTTCCTAGCAGTTGAGTACCAGTATTTCATAAATTATTGCAATTGAAGTCTGGGTCTCATTCTCCCTTGTGAAAGGCCTGGATGAATAACCAGGGCTTCAGGGTTCTTACAAGCAGAATATAGAATAACAGGGTTGGAAGCAACAGCAGAGTGTAAAGAGGGGGGGGTCTAGTTTTTTTGAGGGGGATCTAATTCTTTAGGTTCTCCTACAGAAGGCACATTTCCAATAGATAACATTTAACTGAAGGAATTGGAAGTGTGCCAACCCTGCAGGATCCAGCTACCTCCTAGGCAGATGTTGAGGGAGAGAGTTTCAGTATTTCATGGATCAAAGGTACCTTCAGACCATCACCCACCCCCTTGTCAGTTCATAGCTTGACTACTCTACCTGGGCTACCTTTGAAGACACACACACACACCCCCGCAGAAACTTCAACTGGTCCTAAGTGCAGGGGAGGGCATGATTCAATATGCCCGTGCAACACTTCTGCTTCACAAGCTGCTCTGGTTTGATGGTTCATTTCTGAGTACAATTCAAAGTGCTGGTTATTAAAGCTTACAATGCCGCAGGGCCAGGTTACTTGTGGGACAGCTTGTCTCCCATATTAATCAGAATAAGAGCAGTTGCCTCCACCCATCTTCAGGTGGAATGTGTAGCATTCTTCTAACTTGGGGGATCCGGAGGGAACCCCAACCAATTGCAATATGCCCAAACAAGCCATACACAAGTGTTATGTAACATCCTCCATACAGGTAGTCCTCCACTTACAACAGTTCATTTAGTGACCGTTCAAAGTTAGAACAGCCCTGAAAAAAGGGACTTAGGGCCATTTTTCACACTTACGACCATTGCAGCATCCCCAGGGTCACGCGATTTACATTCAGATGCTTGGCCACGAACTCGCATTTATGACAGACGCAGCATCCCGGGGTTACATGATACCATTTTGCGACCTTCCTGACGAACAAAGTCAATGGGGGAAACCGGATTGGCTTAACGACAGGGTGACTCATTGAAGAACTGCAGGGATTCGCTTAACAAAGGTGGCCAGAAACATGGAGCAAACTCACTTAACCGATATCTCACTTAATGACATACATTTTGGGCTGCGTTGCGGTCGTAAGTCAAAGACTACGACTTGCGAGCAGATTTTCCTTCTGAGGCAAAGGGGGTCCTTGGCTGAATCCAGCAACCCTCTCAAATTCTCTTCCTCTACGATGGTTTATATAAATATTTCCAGTTAAGGAAGTGCAGCATGAAGGATTCAGGGGTGGATTGTCCCAATTCTGATTACCTGCATCCAGACCTCCCAGCAGGGTTAGGGTAAGGTCCTAGGTGTGGTTCCAAAACCCATGTGCCACCAACCGAGGGAGAACAGCTGCAACACATTATCCTCCTGTCTTATCTGTGGTTTATTTACTTATTAGAGTCCCGTCTTCCTTGCTTGGGCTAATAAATCAAGGTGGTGAATGTATCTAATGCTCCTTCCTCCTCCTACAATGGCACGGAAAAAAGGGGCTTATGACCGTTTTTCATACTTATGACCACTGCAGCTTCCCTATGTTCACATGATCAAAATTTGGATATTTGGAAACTGGCTCTTATTTATGACAGTTGAAGTGTCCTGGGGTGATGCGATCCCCTTTTGTGATCTTCTGACAAGCAAAGTCAACTGGGAAGCCAGATTCACTTAACAACTGGTTTACTAACTTAACAACTGTAGTGATTCACCTAACGGTGACAAGAATCGTCATAAAAGGGGGGCAAAACTCACTTAACAAATGTTAGCAACATGGATTTTGGGCTCAATTGGGGTTGTAACTCGAGGATTACTTATACTAGTTAAACCCAATGGTTTCTTGATATATTGTTTTACTGGGTATGACAATGACATATAAACAGGCAGAATCAAAAGTCACCACTGGCCCTGTTGCTAGGATACTTTTCTTTTTCTTATTTCCAACATTATCTAGGCCGCTCTACATCCAAAGGCTCCGATCAATTAGCTGGCAATCAAGTCAGTTGAACAACCTACCTTCGACATCATACCAGTGAGCTCCGTTGGTGATGCCATCTTTAAAGGTTTCTTTCTCTTCCCCAGGACAGTTTGGGGTGCCTGTTTTCATGATGGGATGGTTTGATGCATAGGCTTTTGCCAGGTATTTGAAAAGGTCATCATCAGCCGATTTGCTGTATATCCCAGAGGACTTGTGTGACTTTGAGTCATCAAATGGATAGCTTGCAACAACGGTTCCTCCATGAAAGTTCCCAGAAAGCACAAACCTATATTTAAAAAAAAACCAAAAAACAGAACAATAATAAAAATCCCAGCAGCTGGGAGGTAAAAAGTATTTATTTTCCTACCAAAGTATTTGTGTTTGAATCAGCAACAAGCAAAACCAAATTGCAGAAACTTAAATGGATACCTGAAAGTTGTGTAATCTCACAAACAAAAAAGAGGGGAATGCCCTAAATATAGATCAATTGCAGCAGATATGGGGATTCTGGCTTTATTTAAATATTGGCTCTTTTAGGTACTTTCTCTCCAGCAGTACAAAAAGAATGCGATACCTTTCAATGTTAAGCAAGCTAGCATCAAAGAATTCTTTTTAAGAAATGGCTGTGTGCCAACCAGAACATTACATTACATTATACATTGAAAAAATATTAACAGGATTCACACATTTATGAATTCCCTCACTAACTTATTTATAGGCTACTTTTAAGATGGAAGCATTCATAAGGAAATAAATCAATCAGAATAGAGCTGGAAGGTCCCTTGGAGGTCTTCTAGTCCAACCCCCTGCTCAAGCAGGAGACTATTACATTTAATTTCACAACATATGGACAGATTTAACCATAGTTTCAATTGGGAAAATGTGACTATCCTAGACCAAGCCAAGACCAAAAATGCCAGGGAATTTCTAGAAGCCTCGCATTCTGACAAAACAACCATCTTTCGACACATACTGTAGATATCAACAATATCTATAGACTAGGTAAAAGAGACTATCACTCAGCCCCACAAGGAACGAAGCACCTCTTCATCAGCAATCAGCATATATATTAACTCCAAGATTAACATCAGACCAGCAATCAAGTAAACAATACTTCAATCAAGAAATTGCCAAAGAAGCCAAAGGGGAACAGCCCAACCAAAAAATCTCTAAGACCAACCCAACCAACACTTGACTGGGGAAAGCCACCAGAATATAAACTGACAGCAAACTGCACTCCTTACTAGCACTGATGATGTTACCTAGATGGATCATGAAACATCTGCAAGAAAAC